AGCAGCCTCCATTTCTAAATTATCTCTTCCCCCTGCCCTAACCCAAGTCCAGATGTCCCCACTTCACACTGTGCTTTCCTTGCTTTTAGTAGTTTACCGGCAAGTAGACAATCATAACTCACTTCAGAACTCAAGGCATCGCTGGCATCGGAATCATCAATGTTTCAAATCCAGGCTATTTAACACCACACAGCAAGAAGACTGAGTTTTCCCCTGGTTTGGCCACAGTTACGATATTTATTTTTCAGCCATATTTTCTTCTCTTTTCACATAGTGGCATAAAAGTGGGTTGAAAATGGGCAGGACGCACTGTTGCAGTACATGAGGTGCTAGATCTGGCTTAGCTTTTCATCTTCCGTCCTGGTCTCCTTACCTGTACGATGGGGCAGCCTTGTGGTTTTTTTTTTTTTTTTTTTTTTTTGCCTCTGAACGGTCTCTGGATAGAAAGCGAAGCCTGTAGTGGAGGAAGGTGCAGGATATATAGTACAACTGTTCACTGATGGTTTTGTCGGGATAGAGGTTCCCAGCTGTGTACTCTGGTTGAGGCAGGACTTGCACACTTTCCCAGTGATAGCTCCACATCCTTGAAGTCCCCTAGGTTCTGGGCAGACCGGGATGGGTGGTGATCCCAGAGCTGGCGACGGAGACTCAGAAAGGGAGTTCGGTGAGTTCACACGGACTGGGTGTGCGCAGGTCCTCAGTGGGGATGCAGGTGTCATTGTCACACCTTTCCTGCTTTTTCTGCTGCTGCATGATCCCGGGAGTTAATCATTGCCAGGCCCCGCCTCCCGCCAGCAGGATGGGGAAAGTGAAACCTCCTGAGGCATAAACAAGAAATTGCACATTTCGCTTTTACTCGCATCCCATTCCCCAGCTGGAACTTACCTCTGTGGCTTAAGTGAGGCCCTAGGGTGGCTGGGAAATGTTGCCTTTTGTCCTTCTGGCCGGGAGGCGAGCTCAAGTGGAGGATTCCGTCCCTAGGAGAGCAGCAGGGAAGGGACACCACTGCTGTCCTGCGTGTGCCTGCGTGTGGCATCCAGCACGTCCCCCGCCTCTCCTGTTCCTGTGGTTTCAAGCAAAGGTAGTTTTCTCGGCCCTTTGCGCCACCGCTGTGAATATGTGAGTTAACAGAGCAAATGAAAAAAGACTCCTGGATTCAAGGAAAAGCTGTATCGAAATCTGTGCTGTGTCTTGCCTCTTCCTTTGCCCTAATCCAACACCATTACCCAGGTCTCTCCATTGGTGAGATGCAGAACTAACTTCAGTGCCTCAGCTTAAGCTGTAGATTGAGACCCTCATTCAGTAGTAAGTCAACTGATGCCATTACATGTCCTTTCATTTAAAAATAATGAAACAAAAATGGGATGTTGGAGGTGCGTGCACTCCATCCAAAATCACTATTTGGGTTATTCGTTCAGTAACTCTTACCCCTCTGCCCCCATTGGTTCAAAGTAGTTATCCATTTATTTAATCTATTTTTCTTTATTGAGGTAACATTGGTTTACAATGATGTATGTGATTTAGGGGTATAGCTTCACAGCTAAATTTTTATGGGCCATATAAAGATTGCCAACTAACACTAAAATCTTTTTGGGAGCTTAAGTCATGCTAGAGGGATATAAGAAAATAAGGTTTAATAATAAAATCGATGCATGTTTAGAAGCACTAGCAGTGATAGCCAATGAGTCTTTACTTTGCTGAATTTGTTTCTTACTTATTTCCTGGAGGGCATTTTCCAAGGCTTACTTCCAGAGGTGTTTTGAAGAGAAGTTAGTCTTACAATATTTCATATAATACTAAGATTGATCTCCGGTGCCTTTATGATTGATAGATATTTGCTCAAGTAAATGCAGGCCACGTAAGGCTGAATGGCAGAGAACTTAAAAGCACTAAGAATCTGGGCCTCCTTGGTGGTGCAGTGGGTTGAACACAGCGCTATGGGGCTGTCCGCAGCCTCTGCAGCGTGGGTTCGATTCCCAGCCAGCCAGGGAGGTACCCACATGGCGCAGCAGACCTCCCCTGTCTCGCCCGCTGCTCCCCTCAGCAGTGTATTTCAGTCAGTCTGCCTGTTCTGCTCCCTGCTCTGTCTCCGGTGAATCCTCTCACCCTCCCACACCTCTGGCCTATACCTCAGTTCTTGTATAAATTAAAAAAAAAAAAATGGCATTAAAAATCTCACTGGTATTTTACCCAGACTACCTAATCTTCTTTGAGGACTAAATCTTTCACTTCTTTTTTTCTAAGTAGACTGTTCACCACGCACAGTCATGATTTTTAAATTTCCCATCAACCCTTGTCTTGTTTTTCCTTTAATGTGAAGACACTTTGTTAATTGTATTTTTAATGATGAACTTGAATTGCTAAGCCACTGGGATGACAGGTCGTCAAAACCTAAATTCTTCCCTCTAGTTTATGTGTTTATCATTATTTCCCCGGTACAGTTCAGTCTCATGCCTACTTTCCTGTTCAGAGGTATTACTGAAGTAATACCAAATAGGAAAGGTCAAAGCATTCTATTAAATGGTGGACAAAGGTGATAACCTCCTCGTAAAAAAATAAATAAATAATTCGATGGAAGTAGCATTTTAGACTAAGGCTGCCAGAAATCTTGTGTGGCGTTAGACCCTGGTATTAGGGACTCCTCGTTAGAAAATGGGAGGAAAAAAAGAGGGACTCAGTCTGTTTGTCGTCTTTATACAAATTTAGTAACTGGAGTGTTCCAGGGGGAGGCTACGTGAAACAGTGACACCCGAGAAACCGACCGGCATAGCTGATCTGATTTCTGTCTGGTGTGTTATGGGATTAGTCCCTTCTTTATTTTGCAGGGGTGACATTTAAGTAAAGTGCCACCCACATACCTTTATTGTTTTGCCCAAACACACATTTGAATATGAATGTCTTCGGCATGGTTAGAGGTGGACAGTCCTATTAAACATTGCAGCTGTTTCTTGAATATAGGCACAGAGGTGTGTTTTTGATACAGAGAAGAAAATGTGGTATGATGGGAAAAATGAAATTTGTAGAGTCTGAATTTTGGGTTTTCTACAGTGCCTTGGCAGTGAATTACAGTAAGTCCAGTAGCATCTCAGCAGCCAAGAGAGGATTTGGAGTAGTTGCCGATCAGCAGGGTCTAGCGTTAGAGCAAAGGTCAGTCCAATAACTGCCAGAAGAAAGGGCACTGTGTGACCCTTAGGAGGTGTTTACTGCCCTGGACGACGTGTGTTCTGGTGGAGATGTGGCGGGTCAGGAGCAGAGTGTGGTCATTTGGGGAGTAAGTGAGCCCAGCAAATGGAGACTGATGTTTTAGCACACTTGATCCCGGAGAGGAAGAACCAGGCTTCAGCTCCAGGAGCATGTGCATTGAAGGAGTACCTTATAGATACGATGTCCTTCTGGTAGAAAATTTAAAAATCTGGAAAAATGTAAGTAGAAAAAGAAAGAAATCACTGACAGTCAGAATGTACTACTGATCACAGTTTGGTATCCCGTTGTCATTACAGTCATTTTGTATATAGACATATGTATATTGCATTATATAGTTTTGGTTTTTGCTTTCTAAAAGTTGTGAGCATTTTCTCCTATTAAATTCTTTGGAAATATGGTTTTTGATGGTGGCAGAATATACTGTAATTTTCTTAATCCGCCATTGCTGGCCTTCTCGTGGTTTCTGGATGGATGCCTTTTAAAAGAGTTTGAACACTATGCTATCTGATTTTCTTTGGGAAAATATTAAGGTAACAGATGGACTGAGTTTGTTTCCCAAATATACAGCCAGTTTTTAGCACTCCTTATGGTAATAAGTTGTTCTTTTCTCATCTAATCATGGTACCTCCTTCATCCCATATCATGTTTTTATTTATTTATTCAAGGAATTCTTACAGGTCACGTTCTTTGATCCTTTGATTTTGAAGACTGGCACAAGTTCCACAGCTTTAATATTTACCTCATTTACTGTCTCAAGTCATTGCTGTTTCCTTTTCAAAAAATGTATTTCTTCTCCTTGCCTATTTATTCAAACAAATGAGCATGGAAATAATTGGGTAAAATTCCAAACAAAACAAGACAAACCTCCAGTGGGGTTTCTGGAGAAATTTGTTCAGTCTGTTTATAACATTAAAAGGATTGAGCTTTTTATTTATTTTATTATTTTGGATTGAGCTTCTGAGAATATTGTCTTCCATGAAAATAATAAATATGCCTATACTTTTAGTATTATTTCTCTGCATATCTTAAGAGAAAGGCTAACTATACTTGGTACAGCCAGAAACTACCTTGGTCATTTATTTCAACCCCATCCATCAGTTTCTGCTCCCACAAGAGTGTGCATCCTGTGAACCCTCCTGAACTTTTCTATTAAAAGTCTCTTTCAGATAATTCCCTGAATTGAATCACCAAATTTATATAAATTACACAAAAGGTGACTGCCAGGATACTTCAGATGACGGGGAAATTCACCTTGAAGAAAATGTCTTACAGAACAACTTGAAAGAATTATTTTCTGAAACATAATTTTTCTTCAGTGTGTTTTGATCATAATTAGGAATATAACTGTGGAGATAAAATGATTGGAATAAAAGACATGTGAATACACTTAGAAATCAAAAATTTTGGCTTTTCTTCCCGGGGTTACCACTGATATTCATTTAAAAATTAAATGCTATTTCATCGATACCCTGTAACTGTTACTCAAGGAAGAGAGCTCTTCTGTCTTTCAATCTTATGGGAGTTTTATTTCAAATTATTAAAAGTCTGGTTCTCTGTTATTGATGCAATTATATGCCCTGGAACGGTGCATTTTAAATGCACTGCAGTGTATGTCAGCTTTGCTGTCAGTATTATCCTCAAGAAATTATCAATGAAAAGTGAAGATGTCGGGGTGAATTTTAAAAACAATCCTCGAGAAGGCATGGGTAGCCAGATACCCGCAACAAGAGTCCGCGCTTGTTTGGGAGGGTCAGGCTGGTGTTCTGTGTTAAGTGGCTTTCTGTTTGTCATTGCAGCTATGAAGTCTTACACGCCGTATTTCATGCTCCTGTGGAGTGCTGTTGGGATAGCCAAGGCTGCCAAAATCATCATCGTGCCGCCAATTATGTTCGAAAGCCACATGTACATTTTCAAGACGCTGGCCTCGGCCCTGCACGAGAGAGGCCACCACACGGTGTTCCTCCTGTCGGAAGGCAGAGACATCGCTCCGTCGCACCATTACAGCCTCCAGCGCTACCCAGGGATCTTCAACAGCACCACCTCGGACGCTTTCCTGCAGTCCAAAATGCGGAATATCTTCTCCGGGAGACTGACAGCCATCGAGCTCTTCGACATACTGGATCACTACACCAAGAACTGTGACATGATGGTCGGCAACCGCGTCCTGATCCAGGGCCTGAAGAAGGAGAAGTTCGACCTGCTGCTGGTGGACCCTAACGACATGTGCGGGTTTGTGATCGCTCATCTGTTAGGGGTCAAGTATGCGGTCTTCTCCACGGGCCTCTGGTACCCTGCTGAAGTGGGTGCTCCTGCCCCCTTAGCTTACGTCCCAGAGTTTAACTCGCTCCTCACAGACCACATGACCTTGCTGCAGAGGATGAAAAACACCGGCGTGTACCTCATTTCCAGATTGGGGGTCAGCTTTCTGGTTCTTCCCAAATACGAGAGGATAATGCAGAAGCACAACCTGCTGCCCGAGAAGTCCATGTACGACCTGGTGCACGGCTCCAGCCTCTGGATGCTGTGCACGGACGTGGCGCTGGAGTTCCCGAGACCCACGCTGCCCAACGTCGTGTACGTGGGAGGGATCCTCACCAAGCCGGCCAGCCCACTGCCAGAAGTAAGGTTTGCTGCACTCCTTGGTCATTTTGTTTTTCACGGTGAAGGTCAATTTGTCGATTTCGATTTGACGAGAGCGTGGATTGGTTTGGGTTTGACAACTAAGGCTCCTTGTTGTGCAACAGTCCTAGGCCAGGCAGGTTCATGGTTGATGTGAGCAAAGGGCGAAAGAATCTTGGGGCCTCAGTAGCTCTGACAGCCCTTAATGGGGAAGCAGGGGGCCTGATACGCAGGCAGAGCAGCAGGCAGGGAGGCAGGCAGCAACCGACCCCCCTAGCCCCTGCGACCTCCCGCTTCCCAGCCCAGGTGTCCGGTCGACATTATAGGTGCACATGCCCCATGCGCACGGCACGTGCTTTTTGCACTGACACCCTATCAGATGTGGGTAAACAAACCTGGGAGGAAAACAGAGGTGCAGCTGTGGCCACAGAGACTGGTGGCAGGAGGCTTTTGAGCCCAAGTTACTCCATGTTCCTTACACTATTCCAGGAAGCAGGGAAGACACAGACACTGCCAAGTCCCTTTATTTGTGGATGCCCCACACCCTGGGAGGTGTTCTGTGCGCTGAGTGGCTGCTGCTGTGTGGTCATAGACTGGAGGAAAAACAGCTTTCTGATTAAGTAATGACCGTTGTATGTGAGGAGAATGTAGTTAGACGATCCAGTTCAAGGATCGTGATTTTGCTCTGGATTAAAGACAGAGTTACCTTCTGTTCCTCCCCGAAGAACACACTCACAGGCCTCTGTGTCTGGATGGGGTTCAGAGAATTCCAATAAACACAAAGCTGGTGAATGGATTCCGCGTTAGGCAGTCACAATCACTGCGGAGTTCACCTCCAACAGTGAAAATGAGGCCCTGCCTTCCACCAAGCTCTGCGGTCACGTCATTTTAAGTTAGCAAGCAGCGTCTGTTTTCAAGAAATCACGCCTCATTAGATTTCATCTCAAAGCAGGGATCCATGGCCCCTTAAGACATGGTGTCTCCTCGTTAAGTGCAACCTAAATTTTGTTTTGGTTAGTTGAGCTGTCAGTGAATCCTTTGTGTACTGTCTTCCGTCCTTGCTGGGTTTTTATAGGTACCTCGAACAGCACCTGCAAGGCCGTGGTCTTTTGGGGCCTCTAAACTCGGGTTTGCTCTGGGTTTAATCCTCCAACACCTGACTGCATTTGCCGGGAAGTAGAAGACCTAATCCGTGATTTTCTTTCTTGAAACTATTTCTGCCCTTAAACTTTGAAAAATAGTCACAACAAGCGCAAAATGGCTCATTTCTACCGGTTCTCTAACCCCCCACCTTTGATAAGCCACACAGCATGTGAGAATATATTTCCTCTCCCCAGAACCCAAGCTTATCTTTTGCTCTAAGGCGCACTCTGCCCATTACTTTTGCTTTGCTTAACTATTATGTTTTACTTTAAAAGCCATCTTTGAGTGGTTTCTGGGGCCGCCTTTAAAGCCTTGCTCTGTTTTCTGGCGGGTCATAATTCCTGCTTTGACACTGGTTGCCCCTGCTTGGCGGGCTCCCCTGCGCTGTTATTTCTCTTTGGGCTTCGGTCATGTTTCTTGTGAAAATGTGCTTATTTACAGTCATCCCTGGGGCTGTGACAGTGAAGTCCCTCATGCAGACCAGACCCACGTGGCCGGCCGCGTGTTGCACGCCTGGACCTAGAGTAGTGCGCTGTTGCCAGTGGACGTCTGTGAGGCTGTGCGTGTGAGGGCTGTTCCGTGTCAGTGCGTCATTTACTGACGCCTCAGCAGGGAATATTTGGAACAGTGTGTCTTATTACTCTTTCAGATATGCCTCACTCGGGTCAGGTTTTATGTGCTTAGAACACACACGTGTCTGTTGGGATTTCTGTACTAGATTTATTGATGTGATAAAATGTAGCTGAGGGTTCTAAAGGTCAGTGAGTCGCCCCAGTTTTTTAATCATTTATCGGGCATGGCCGTGACACTGAAACAATAGGGCCCAGCAAATGGCCACTTACACACCATCCACTAATAACAGCGTGATTGTTAATTGTCGTAGCTTACACTGGCGATGGATTGGGATTTCTAGATGTCTGGAAAAGATTTGACAGTGGGATTTGATTTCACAACCTGGGGTGAAAGGGCAGAGAACTTTTCTAAAAGACATTTTTTTTTTTTTAGATGCTTTCTTCATGCTTGAGCCTAAAGAAACTCGAAAGCAGCTAGCTTGGCTTCATTCATTTTATTTTTTCAGTCTCAAAATATAGAGAATAGTCCATTCATTTGTCACATTAGAGACTCCGAGAGTCTGATCACAGTGAGAGTCTGTGCAAAGTCAGCAGACTGTTCTGTTGATTTGGTATTCTGTCTAGATGACTGTATCTCTGTCACTCATTTTACTCATTTGCACATTTTCAGGGGTTCACCTAGAAGCCATTACTTATTACATATGGTAGAAGGAAGCTGGCATCCCCAATAAATAAAAGAGGTGTCAAAGCTGAGATAGGGGACCAGACTCCATGGGGAGGGAGGCCGTAATAGACTTGATCCAGGATGGTAGCAAATGAGGAAAATTGTTAATAGTACCTTATAGATGTTATCCTATGAACTATAACATACTCAGTTCCCCCTCCCCCTTTTTTGTAAAGGTTTATTTATTTATTTATACAAGCACTGGGTACTGTCAGAAGCGTGGGAGGGTGAGAGGATTCACCAGAGCCAGAGTGGGGAGCAGAACAGGCCGACTGACGAAATACACCGCTGAGGGGAGCAGCGTGCAGGCAGGAGAGGTCTGCACGCCATGTGGGACCCTCGCCCAGCGGCCGGGGATCGAACTGGCGCTGCAGAGGCTGCGGGCAGCTTTGAAACCCAGAGCTCAACCGCGGTGCCACCGGGGAGGCCCTCAGAGCCCCTTCTTAAATTGGTGCAATTTAGTTTTAAAATGCATGCTAGTTTTCTGCTTACCTCGTCATGCTGTCTACTACCTGGCCGCCTCCTTGGGGGTCCCGACACGTGTGGGTGAAGGTCTGGGTGGGTTCACAGCCATGCGGTGGCTTATCTCCTCTCAGTGCACTAGAGATCACAGGTACCAACTAGAAACAAAATTGCTGAAGGCACAAAGGTCTGTAAAATAATCCTTGATTCTTTACTTATTAAATGAGAATGAAATAATAACATCTACCAAGAAGTGATTATAGCTTCTAGTAGTTTTATTAGAGGGAAAGACTTAATATGTCACTCAAGGACAGTACGTTGACTTAGGGAGTCTATTGATTATTAAAATCAATCATGGGCTTCAGGTGATCTGTTTTACATGATTTCCCATTGACCAAGATGGTCTAACCTTGCCAGATGACTGTTTTTTTCCACTTTTCAGCTTCTCCCGCGTTGACCTATAATCACACCTCGTGATTGTACCTTAACTGTTGATTTTTCATTTGGCTCTTGCCTTAACTGGACTGTGGAACCCTCAAATGGTGGATACCCCATTTAGTCATCTTTATTTTCTGAGCACCTAGAAAATGGTAGACACTTCATAAATGTTAAATATTAGGTAAACTGTCTCAAACAGAAAGAGTTGCCAAAAATAGATGGTTCAGCTAGTACAAAAATATTGTTAATATATAATAGTTATACATTCATTCCAAATTTATGTTCACATACCACCCAGCCACTAAGCAACCAGACTTTCTGGGTAAGTTATTTTAGTGAATTAAAATAGCTGTCGAATGCTACTGACTTGAAAAATAGAGGGCAGTGCAGTCAGGTTGGCTTTCACACGTGAGTTGGGAGGTCTGGCACTCATGGAGTGCACCTCAGAGGTCCTTTATTGCCAGACTGAGAGTTATGGGCATCTTCATTTCACCAGTTGTAGAGACCTTTTTATTTTATGGAAACTTAGTCATGGAGAGAGATTCAGGTAAGAGATAAGCAGAGATAAGAAAGAGCTCAAGGCCAAGGACAAGATCCTAAGATACTGTCGCTTTGTCACTGGTCAGAAGTCCTTCACGGAGAGAGGTTTTGGGGGAATCAGGAGACATTTAGCTACAGATTCCTTAGCTTAATCCCCAGGGGCAGTTGAGGGTCTGAGAAGAGGAATAAAACTAAGAATTTAGAAAACTTAAATAAGAGACCAGGAAAAAGACTAATCAATACAAAATAAAAATCAAAATCAACAAGCAACTATAGGGTCTCCCCGGTGGCACAGTGGGTTGAGCGCAGTGCTGTGAAGCTGTCTGTAGCCTCTGCAGTGCCTGTTCGATTCCTGGCCAGCCAGGGAGCAACACACATGGCACAGCAGACCTCTCCTGTCACGCCCGCTGCTCCCTTCAGCAGTGTGTTTCGGTCAGTCTGCCTGTTCTGTTCCCAGCTCTATCTCTGGTGAATCCTCTCACCCTCCCACACCTCTGGCCTGTATCCCAGTGCTTGTATAAATAAATAAATCTTAAAAAAAAAATAAATTTAAAAACCAAAAAAAACAAGCAACTATAAACCAGAGACACACTGTGGGAGGGGGAGAGGGGAGGAAGTGGCGGGGAAAGGAAGGACTAGAGTCAAAATAAAGTGGGGTGCAATTGTATGGGGAATATAACCAAAATGAAAATGCACACATTGTGCAAAGATGAAAAATGATGTAAGAATTATATAAAATAAAATATTAAAAATAATAAAGCACAACTTAAAAAAAACCGTAATTAGCATGTCAGAGTTACTGAGAGCATTACAAATAAAGATTAAGGCTCTCATAAAAAAAAAAAATAAGGGGCCTCCCCTGGTGGCACAGGTGGCTGAGCGCCGTGCTGTGAAGCTGTCCGCAGCTTCTGAAGCGTCTGTTCGATCCTGGCCATTCGGCAAGGGTCCCACATGGCGCGGCAGACCTCTCCTATCTCGCCCGCTGCTCCCCTCAGCAGTGTACTTCGTCAGTCTGCTGTTCTGTTCCCCGCTCTGTCTCTGGTGAATCCTCTCACCCTCCTATGCATCTGGCCTGTACCCCAGTTCTTGTATAAAATAAATAAATAAATCTTAAAAAAAAAA